TTTTATTACTTAAAAGCGCCGCAATCTAATGCAAATGGCAGAGGTGTCGACAATCAGCTGATCGCCGAGATCATGTACTGCCACTATTCAACGCGCTGATCAGATTGAAGGATACGCGCTGCAAGTGTAAATAAACAAGGTGGTAAATAACAATACGTTACAGCTATGCGAAAATTAGTAAGTACATACGAATAAGCTCGTTGACAGAAGAACCAACGGGAATACAGATGTGAGCCCCACAGCTCCGTACGTTTCTCGGTTAGGGCTAACACGCCCTGAAAGTGGGGAGCCAACATAAAAAAAACAGGGGTCGATCAACACTTCACGCGACAATATTTTGCATCCTTGTCACAATCGAAAGTCATTTTGTCGAGACTTTCACGCTGATGTAGCCTAAAACACTTTGCACAACCAATTTCGTCCACCGCGTCGACCGTGACAAACCAGCCGCCATGTTTTTAATCCAGGATTAAGAAACAACCAGAAGCAAAGCGCCCAATGTTGGGCGCTTAAGTTAAGCGTAGTTTAGTGCTAGGTTTAGCGATAAGCGAGTTTGGTGCAACCGAACGAAACCGAAGCTAAGCTTAAGTTCCCGGCTAAGCTCCGCTTTGCGCTAAGCGACGTTGGTGCAACCGGCCCTTAGTCATTGAGAGACACATCTTGAACACAACGCATAATGTAGGTTGTTGGAAGCGTATACAATTCGCGAATCCAACTCGCTATAGGTGGCGCCACTCGTTTTTCAAAATGGCGGTTAAAGTGAGGGTTGGAGACGGTTGCCGCTGGTGAGCCTGTCCAGTGAGCTGGCTTCACTGAGCGACACAAATTATTTCTGGTAATAAGATAGCTAGCTCACCTCTTTATCCTGAAAACAAAAACGGTGTTTAGCGTAGATTTACGCCATGAGGCACATTATAAATCTGGAGCAAAACCGAAACTAACCTCTATTTTGAATTCAATTTCTCAGTGTAGGTCTTAATTACGGATTCTTTCATAACTCAAGATGTGTCTCACAACATAATTATTCCGTTAAAGAAGTTGTTCACTGAAACTTTATTTTGTGACATGCATGTTCGATTCAGGCACTTCAAAATACTTTGGAGATTACAGTGTCCCTTTAAAGACACGGTCTTTCATACACCTTAGAGGTAATATAGTATATTGTAGTTGTTGAAAAAAGCAGTGCTTAAACTTGTACGTTCTGGCTGCACTTTCTCGCTCAGATAATTGCCATCTGAAATAATGAACGTAAAAAAAAAATTGTAAGGGTGCAGGCGAGCTGGTGAATATTAATCATCTTGAATCAACCTGAGACTGGGGTAAAGAAAGAATTTTAACAGGTTTTTGGCATTAGGGTCATTGATTGCTTTAACATTACTCCCAGCACAACAATATCAGAATACATCCAATTTTTATATTAGGTCCACAAAACATATCAATTAATAAACGCTGTTCTCACTACAATAACCCAAAGACAAGATCCGAGTCAGACAGCTGAAGTGTGCGTGTGTTTTAGAGCAACGTGTGACGCATAGGACTTTATATTGCATCCAGTGTTTGAATGTCTATCTTGATAACGATACCAGAGTTTCTCATATACTAAAAATAAAACAAAATGATACCTTTCTGAAAAGACTATCTTGGTTAAATGGCGTATTTTTGTGATCGTGCGGTTAATTGGGGGCATACATTGCCGTGATTAGTATTAATAATAATAATAATTATCAAATTTAGATATTTTAAGGCGTATCTTTTAAGCTCTAATATAATTTGTTGCTTACGATCTAATTGCAAACGCGCGAACAAATATGAAAATCAAAAGTGTGCTAATTATCATCACAGGTGCCAATTGCAGCATTTTTATGCTGCAATTGGCACCAGTGATTTTCAATCAAGTTATAAAATAAAAATAGTCTAAAACCAGTGAAAACATTCTTGATAGATGTGAGAAATTTATGTAAAATTACATTAATTGTGGGTAAAGCACATTTTTTTATCAAAATCGCGACATTTGACAATCGGCGAAACTTCCAAAGTCGCCGTCAATATCCGTCCAAACCAAATGCCCAAAAATAAAATTAAAAAAAAAAAAAGATTTTTTTATAAATTACCGGTTTTTTTTGTTTTGTTTTTTTTTTCTAATTTTTAATTACTTTCATTTTTACGCGCCGTCGTTTTGCCAGACTCAGTCTTTCCAGTTCGAAGAAACCGCTACCTTCTTGCACGTCTGCTCACTGCAGCACGTTTCGTCGGCTTTGGAAGCCGGTGAAACAGTAGTGAGTTTCAGTATTGCGTATACGAGCGAACGCAAGCGCTGTGTGTTTGCGTTAGCTTTGCTCGTTCCACACTGGGCGTGCGCGGAGGCCAGAATTGCAGTCTTGGATTGGCGCATTGACGATGACGCGCGTGCACAACTCTAATGCAATCTTCTATTTGCAATCTTAAAACTCTCCAATAAGGTGCAATCGCATGCCGGCTGCAGCACTACTACGTTGGAAGAGTGAATAGTGTTGATTACGATTGGAAATGGCATTTGGCGGGCCATGATCGCGTGCAGTTCCGCCGTGCCCGCTGAGCAGGAGAATCGGGGGACCCTCACTAGAGCTCTTCCCGTTTGCACCGCGGGAGGGCGCGCAACGAGCTGGAGACGCGAATAGCTAGAGGACGAGCACTCACACACACGACCAGTAATACTCTACTGTTACAAAAAAGGAGCAGAGAAGAAATTGATACAGGAGGGAAGCTGCAGAGACCGACTTTTTTTTTCTCCAAATCATTAAACAATTTTGTTTTGTTTTTGATCAGGGGCATTCTGGAATGGGTTTTGTCATTGTCCGTTGATAACAAGTTAAGAACTAGCCAAGAATCTACAGGGTCATACAAGGAGACGCCAGGCTTTTTAAATCGACCGGAAAATTTGGTTTCTTAACCTATCATGATACGACTTTGTGCAAAGTTGCCCACAGATGGTGCAGTTTTTGTTGTTGTTGTTTTTTTTTGTAAAATTTGCAAAGAGCGACTTTACCTGAGGAAAAAGTAAAGCAAGAAAAAGGCTTAGCTCCTATGGAAACGCAGCGACGTTACCGCTCTTCAAACAACACGGCGCCGTTTCGCATGCGAGACGAGATGGCGCAAGCGGTCGCGACGCCAACTGCCGCCAACGAATGAGCAGACGACGCCGAGTGCAGGCGTATTTAGCAGACAAGGAACTGCAGTTCCTTTGTTGTTACCGCGCCTGTTTTTGTTTCTGCGACTGTCGCCGCCTGCGCAACGCGCGCCACTTTTGAGTCGAAAAGATTGTCTGCTAAAGACACTGGCTCTCGGCGCCATATGCTCGTTCGTTGGCGGCGTTCGTTGCGCCCATCTCTTGTCTCCCACGCAAAACGGCGCCGTGCTCTTTGAAGACCGTTGGCGTCGCTGCGTTTCCATAGGAGCTAACTAAGCCTTTTTTCTTTCTTTACGTTTTCCTCAGGTAAGTTCGCTCCTTGCAAATTTTACAAAAAAAAAAATGCACCATCTGTGGGCAACGCTGCACAAAGTCGTAGCGCGATAGGTTAAGAAACCGAATTTTCGGTCGATTTAAAGAGACTGGCGTCTCCTTGTATCACCCTATAGAATGCAGAGATTGACACAATAAAAGAAGATGGTACTATTGGCTGCGTGCAGAGAATCGAAGACACTTTAGTAATGCTGGATACTGGACCGGGTTTGGGATACTACGAACAATATCCGCATTGCCTTTACTGTTTATAATGTACCGTTCAAGAGATCCAGGATGACATTTCACAAAATTTTATCTTCATTTGTAATTGTAAGTAATTAATTTTAGGCCGTGGTAAGTTGTAACGTAATTTAATTGTATTTTATTTGTATTCGGCGAATTAATTAGTAATGTAGTTTAATAACTAAATTAAAGTAATTTCTCAAGCTTTAGTTCTAAGACGCTTCTTCCCTATTTCCTATGAGCTCATTGTTTCATCCTGAAGACCCCTGAACCCCTTTTTGCGCCTGTCGGCGTCAAGTATTTCTAAAATGGTAGATTTTGTTGGTCAAAGCGTAGCGTTTATGCGGTTGAACACAGCTAAAAAGGGGCTTTAGAGCGTAGCTATTTCTAGCGTCGCCAATTAAAGAAATATTGTAATGGCGCTCCTTCAATCACTGGGCTCCCGAGCTTTAGGCATCATCATAGGAAGTATTTGCTTACCGCTAATATTTGAACGCCACGCTCTACTTAGAGGCAAAAGACAAAACAAAATGCTGCGGAACTAAACAACTAAACCCACCAAGTTCGACCTGTTGGCACGTGTCCGCTAAGTGTCCGAAGGACCAGACGTCCCCTATTGGCCGGGACAGTCCCATTTTAGAGGCTCATTCTGACGTCCCGTTTTTTTTGGTCTAACGAAGGCTCGTGTCCCGTCTTCGGCGGAGCCTATGTAGTAGTTGCGAAATTAGTACTAAGCGAATGGAAGAAAACCAAAATAATGTTTACTTGTTGCAGACGTAATGTTATAAAGATAAACATATTATGAAACACGCATCTGCTAATAAATTTTATTAACAGAAAAGTGTGCGGGAGATTTGTATGTTACCGAATTTGACGTGCTTTGGTTAGCAACATTTTTTGCTGATTGTTAAAAAAATGGGGAAGAAAAGAACTTCTATTCCAGGGGTGGCCAAGCTGCGGCTCAAGAGCCGTATACGGCTCTTCGCGTGTTAAAGTGCGGCTCGCGGCTCTATCCCCTCCCCTCCCCCCCCCCCCCCCTCCCCCCCCCGCCCCCTCAACTCCCCGCTTCCTTCCCGGTCACACGAGCACTTCCCCAGAAAGAGAAATGGAACGTGTTTTAAATCGAAAGACAGGTTGCGGTTTGGTAGTTTTGTGCTACTGCTACCATACGTACAGTTGAGTGCTTTTGACTCGGATAGATTGAAAGTAGTCCGAGTTTCGTGTATTGCTCCAAACAATCTATGCTTCTGACAAAGTGCGCGTTTTTCTTCCGCAGGCATCGGCAAGGAGACTGCCAAGGACCTGGCACGCAGGAACGCGAGAGTCATCTTGGCGTGCAGGAACCAGGACAAGGCCAGGCTTGCCGCCCGGGACATTCTAAGCGACACGGGCAAGCAGGTTGTCTGCATGCAACTTGATTTGTGCTCCCTCAAGTCCGTCAGACGTTTCGCCAAAGACATCCTCGAGCGCGAGGACCGACTGGACGTGCTGATCAACAATGCAGGCATAATGCGTAAGCTGGCACGTCATGCGGACCTCTTCTTGGTAGTGCAAAGTGCGTGGGGTCCGATTTTGGTCAGCGCAAGGGCGTAAGCCAGATTTATATGCTTTTCGTGGAGCGGGTGGAGAAAGCGTTTGTTTGCTAACGCGAGCGAAGAATGCGGTTCGTCTCCTACAAAGCGCCACAGACCTCCTGCGCTGCCCAGAGGGCGCAGCGAAAAGGGACTTGTTAGGACTCGTTTTAGGTAGTATACAAACTTCAGCGTCTCAAACTGTCAGACTGAAGAGGCGTGCCTGCGGTGGTGCAAAGCGCGATCATGAGGAAAATACAAAAACAAAATCATTCGAACGCCGTCGAAGCACAAGTCAAAGCTATTCCATAAAAAGCATCAGCCAAGAGCACGGTGGCCAAGAGGCGCCGTTTCACACGTTCCTAAGTAAAAAGGCAAAGTTTAAAAGTGTCGGGCGCCAAATATTTTGGCGTCTCCACCCAGATTTGAGAGACTCGTACTCTAGCGGCGAACACACACAAAAAAAGGTATATTCTTACACCCCTTGTCCCATATATACAATACACCCCAAAACTTCAGTTCGACAGCGCACTGACATTGAACCGACGGTACCAACTTTCACGAGCGGATTGATTGCGGAGCTGTACAACTTATTAAAATAACTTTTGTGCGTGTGACTGACTGTAAAAAAAGTAATCAGTGTTTCCTTGGCCCTACTGCAAAACCTCAGTGTTTTTGTTTTTTTCTGTAGTCTTTGATACGTACTTTAGCTGCTTAATGTTATATCCAGGGTGACCATAATCCTCAAGGCGGAAAACGGGACATTCAGCGGAAAGGAGGGGGGGGGGGGGGGGGGGGGCGTAGCAAAGATTGAGTTTGGGGGGAAACCATTTCATGCAACAGCTGCTCCGTTTTCAAAACGTTGCCATAACACACTAAGCCCTATATGGTCTATGTAACAATTACACTCGCTGTTCAGTTGCATGCACTCATTTCGTTTCAAAGCGAGTTTCGGTTTGCTATAACTCGCTTGGTGCAAATTTTGTAACTATGCACTTTTGAGAAAAACGGGATATGATTCTTTATTGGGACAAAAAGACGGGACGGCAGAAGCGGACCTCAAAAACGGGACTGTCCCGGCCAAAACGTGACATCTGGTCACCTTAGTTATATTGTACCGTCATCAAGCCTCTAGTAAAAGTTGGGGGCGTAGATTTGACGTCAGTGCGCTTTACGTCGAACTGAAATATAGGGGTGTCTTATATGTTACGAAAGGTGTAACATATACACCCTTTCCTTAGGGTGTGGTGGCACGATCTTGGTGCTGTCGATTGTCTTGGAGCGTTGAATTTAGACGATTTCGGAACTTAAGAGGTGGTTTTTAGTTATTCAGCAGTACACGGAAAGAAATAGGCTCAGCGAAGGCACCAAAATTAGTGTAAGGCCAAATAAGGTGAGCCAGTACAATCCAAATGAGTGCGTCTCAATTTGTTCAAAGCTTTAGCGCAGGAGGCATATTCGCTGAGCAATGTTTGGAGATATGTGTTTGTCCTTTGTCAGCTTTGTCTCCCTCCTGCAGCGACTAATATAGTTAAGAAAACACTGTTCGTCGAGTGGAAACAGACCAGAAAAACGTTGATCGTCTGCTACAGATCGAGTGTCGCGGGGAAGTGAGATCGGACGCAAATTGAAATTGTGATCATCTCCTATTTTGTGTTCAAAGCTATTGACAACTCGCTCATCGTTCCCGAATCTCAAGTAGCTCTGCATTCGTTAACCAGTTGACATTCGCAGGTGGGTTAAGGACAAGCACCCGAGAAGCCGCGAGACCCTTTCTCGCGAGTGTTGGTGACACGTTCTCACCAAATTGTCGCCCGACTCTGAACCCTCGAGTGGGTCGAAAAATCTCTCACTGATTGATTTCGTGCAAGGTGCGGCTCCATCGTCCAATCAGCAGCCAAATATGCTCTCACTTTGACCAAAATCGAACCGCTGGAGCGCGTCTCCGACGTTTTCCGCGTTCTCCAATGTGTTCCCTCGCGCCTGACAACGTCATAAAAGTGCCATGCTGTAGCCTGTCACGATCCTGGCCATGGCGCAGACACCAGACGCCTTTTCTGTTGTACGTCGCTCCGCAGCAAGACAGACACGAGATGGGATGCCTCGACAAACGCATCCTTTTCGTCCGTTCGCCTTTTTCGCCAGCATTTTTGTGACGAATTGTCCGGGATTGCGACATCCGTTAGCATGACGTGCCGGCTCCTGTGCCGCAGTTCGTTGCCCCCTCGTGAACACTTTCGATGCAGGAAGAGGAGGGGGGGGGGGAGGGGGGGGAGGAACAGGACGCTAACTTTAGTCAAAGACGAGTTGCAGGAGCAGTACTTTCACAGAAGCGAACCTGGGAATCGCGTAGCCGTCGCCCTTATACGTACTGTTCCCAGTTATCAAAGTCGTTGACAGGTTAAGAGTAAAGTGGATACTCCTGCCACCTTTTCCCACATTAGCAAAGCGAATGCTCGAGAGGAGGTCGCCTCCTCTCCAGATCAAGTTCACTCTGCTAAACTGGAAAGAGGTAGGTCGAGCTTCCACTTTACTCTTACCCTGTTACCGTCTATAGTTTTTGGCGGGCTAACATCCCGCTAAATGTAGCGTGACGCCTCTGTATGAGTCACCTTGTCCCATGACGTGCGCCGTCTCACGTGATGTCTAGGTGTCACGTATTTCTGTCACGTGACATCTAGATATGTCATGTCATGCTGTCGCGTAACCCACGGTGTTAACAACGTGATAAGACCTAGTAATGTCAAGTGCCAAGTCGTGGTGTAGCGTGGCATCCCGTCGCGTGACCACGTCGCGCAATGTCCTCTGGCACCACGACTTGACACGCTGACGTGACGTGAGGCCACGTTCCTCAGATTTGCGTGTATATCGTTAATGCATTGAGCAAAGAAACGTCATGGGCTTCTTTTTTTTTAAATTTTGTAAGGCATTGACCTCAAACATGCGGCCTGCGGACCGCACGCGGCCGGCAACTCGATGGGGCGCGCCCCGCAAGCAGCCGGCTGCGAGCCTTTTTTTCCCATGCCTCGGCAGTGTTGCGGAGTTGCCACTCCGGAATTGGAATGATTCTGGAATCATTCCGCATTTCCGCGACCCCGGAATGGAATGGGAATGGAATGACGGCAACGTTGAGGAGAATGGAATGGGAATAGAATTAGATGCCTTTGGCCCGGAATGGAATGGGCGAGGTTCATTATTAATTTTTGTTTTATTATTTTGTGTATGTGTGTGGGAGGGGGGGGGGGGGGGGGGCTACGTTACGTGCATTTAGACTGAGCCAGTCAGCGAGTCAGTTACTTAGAAGTAAAATGAGCGGGAAACTGCTAGCCCGCGTGGAGCCCTAACAGACTTAAGCGCGAAACACGTGTACGACGAAACTGTTCGATCTGACGTCCGACCGCGCAATACGACGGTCGGAGGCGAGGGTTTTCAACGCTCTCCGATGCTACGAACACCCTCTCCCCCCAAGGTCATTCCGGCAGTCCGCACGTCGGATCGGAAGGTTTTCGTCGCACATGTGTTTCGCGCTTTATACGCAAAAAATGCAACACAAAAAACAAGCGTCAAACAAAGAGCGAGCGGGAGGGGGTGGCGGTGGCGCCTTCCATGGAAGTGCAGGCGACGGGCTTCAATGGCGTTACATGAGAGCGAAACAAGAAACCGAGCACCAAGTAAAAGAAACGAAGGGAGCGGCAAAGTAAAAAACCGCCATGCACGGCCCCTCATCGTCCTTCTTTACTTACCTTTTTTTTTTGACGGCATTGGGATTGCACGCGCGCGCGCAGACTGAGATGTGGGAGCAGTGTCAACTGCTCCCACATCTCAGTCGCAAAGCTCTGATAACTCGTTGACTCGCACGCCGCCGAAAGGTGATCAGTTGTTGTTTTCTTATAGTTCGAGGAGCGTTGTTTAGCAGGTGGCAAACCCTGCTGCCTTCCACGTTCATCCGCGCGCACTTCTTTGAAGTGCAAAATCTGGGTTTGCTTCGGCATTAAAACAAAGCGAGATTCGCTTCTTTCTTCTCTTGCGCTTCGCTCCGACGCTTGTCTTTTTTTTTTTTATATACTGTATTTTTACGTGTAAGTCCGCCTTCTACTTGGTCTTTGTTCTGATGCTTGTTTTCTGTGTTATATGTTTTACATTAAACTGGGTTAGGGTTACAAGCAAGCTAGCGGATGCCCGCTCATTTCCTTTAAATTTAGTCTCTGCATACCTTGTTTCACGTTGCGATTGGCCGCTGCGGCCTTTACGAATCACCCCAGGCAATCCAGCACCATCAGCTTAGTAAAATCAGTGTTTTTTTGTGGCATTTAGCATTTTTTGCATTTGTCTATGCGTTTGATAATGTCAGCTTTATGCTGTTTATGCCGGCAACATTCACAATGTAGCTGTCAAGTGCCACTTTTTACGTTTAGGAATTAGAGGAATGGAATGGAACAATTCATCCATTCCAGGAGTGGGAATGGGCCCAATGTCTCCATTCCTAGGAGTTGAAAGGAATTGAATTATCGAAAACTCTAATTCCCGGAATGGAATGGGAATGGAATGGGGGTGCCCATTTCGCAACACTGGGCTCGAGCAGAGTTGGACGCAGTTCAACTACTCTACTCAAACTACTGTAGTTCAACTACATTTCCGAGTAACTTGGTAACTTTCAATTACAACTTTATTTGGGTAATTAGTAGTTTAATTTAACTACGTTTTTCAGGTAACTTCTACTCAAATTACTAACTACTTTCGAAATCTAATCCTATTTTTTTTTCATCACAAAAGTTTGAGCGCAGAAATAAATAAGACGCTGACAGATCAAGTGATATTCACGAACAAGGGGCCCCCTCACATTCAGTTCCCACCCACTTATATTTGGCAGCCGTAGAAACTGCATCACAGGCGTCCTTGGGTCAAGGCGGCGAGAGCAGCCAAAACATAACACCGGCGCGGA